CCTTTTAAGACTTTTAAATTCCATTAATTTCACTTTAAACATATAAATTCCTTTCATTTTCCTTTAAACATGATTAATTCCTTTCATGTTCAATTAAGTAATTTTTAAATTTATGTATTTTCATTTAAAAAATAAATTCATTTCATTGTCTATGTAACTTGTTTTTATTCCTATTTTTTTGCTATTTGGGGGGGTTGCGGCGAAAATCGTCCTATTTTTCCATATGTTCAATTCCTATTTTTTCATTTTTTTTTAGGGGAAAATAAGAAAAATTAGGAAAAATAGGACGATTTTCAGGCACACCAAAAAATAGGTAAAAATAGTATTATTTTCAGGCACCCCCCCAAAAATATGAAAACAATAGGGTTATAAACAATAAATTAAACAATATACATGTAAAGGAAATTATTAGTTTTTAAACGAAATGAAAGGAAATAATCTTTTTTTTGAAAAGAAAGTGAAAGGATCATTTTTTAAAGGAAAATGAACGGAATTTAGAATTTTTACAAGGAAAATGAAATGAATTTATTTGTTTAAAAGGAAAATTAAAGGAATTTTTTAATGTTCGAAGGAAAACGAAAGGAATTTATCATTTATTAAAGGAAAATTAGAGGAATCTATATTTTTAAAAAGAATATAATTGAGTTAATAATTGTTTAAAGGAAAATAAACGGATGGTTTAAAGGAAAATGACATGAAGTAATCAATTTTTATAGGAAAATGAACGGAAATTTGCTTCCAGTACGTTGCTTCCAGTCATTTGCTCTTCGTATCCATTTCATGTTCCTGTCCTAGAGTGCTGCCATTCTTTTCCTTTTTTCCTTTCCTATTTCTAAATCCACCTCTTTTCTTTTCCTATTTTTGAGACTCATCCTCTTTGTGTCCTTCTGTTTTTTCTTCCTATTTTCAGTTCCTATTATTCCTATTTTGTTCCTATTATTTTCCTAAAAACATTGTTTTAAGGTTTTTCAGACATAGCAGGCAGCTTTTTGTCATAAGGTTAGATCAGGTTGTTTACTTTACAGTGCCAAAATATGTGAGGATTGTTCTACTCAGTTTTCCTGATTTGTTTTCCATCCAGGTGTGGATGTCAAAGATGTTAGACGGTATCAAAGATGTCAGATGCAGAATGTCTGATGAATTTCTGATGTTTTTTAAAGTTGTGGTGGGTGGGATGTCTGTTGGATGTCAGATGTCAAGTGTTTGATGTACTGATGTGAAGTTTCCAGACCCACGCGCCAGTCAGTCAATGACCAAACTCAGCCAACAAATTGACAAACCAAAGTGCAATGTGCAAGGTTGGTGGAACTCAGAGAGAGCTACTATCCAAGTCACAATATTTCAGAATCTGTAATCTTTTAGCGCGCACATAAGCCCAAGAAATGAAAAGGTTCTTTGCAGTGCCTAAGAGTTGCTGTCAACTTTGGTAAACCAACTGGCAGCTAAGGCTGAGAAGCGGACATTGGCAGGAATTGGCCAGTAAAGCATTCAAAACCTCAGGATTCAGGAAATCAGTCTGCGCGAGAGATGTTCAAAGCAGTTCACTGCTTTCCCACACGAGGGCTTTGAATAATGAAACAAGCAGCGTAAGAAACAAGATTAGTAAACTTCGAAGGGACCAACCTCAAGCAAACGAAAATGTATTATGTGGCTCTTGCTTGATGTCACTTGCAAACAAACATGAGGCCATCCAAAATTAAGTCTATGTTTGGAGGGTTGTTCCACCATCAATCACAACAATCATGCAGTAGCACACTTTTTTCTGATTGTAAGATAAACTCCTGGCTGGCCTATCTATCTATCTATCTGTCTATCTATCTATCTGTCTATCTATCCATCTATCTGTCTATCTATCTTTCTGTCTATCTATTCCATTCTATCTATCTTTCTTTCCGTCTTTCTCTCTTTCTTTCTTATCTATCTATCTCTCTATCTGCACTCCCGAGTTCACAAAGGTGGATGATAAGGCCCACCATCGCTTAGTTTTGACAACGCTATACAGAGGTTTTCAAGGCTTTAGCTGTTTATCAAGCAGTCTTAAACAGCTTGGAGTCACACTTGGACGAGGTGCAGTTGCTGCAACGAAATACCTGAAATATCAGAAACAACTGGCGCCGCCGCTGTAATGGAGTGCTTCGGGAGCTTGAGGAAGCTCGCAACGGTCAGATCTTCAGCATCAGATCCATGGAGGCCTGGCTCGAAAGCATCGATGTGGCGGATGTTTGGCGCCGCCTGCGCCTTCCATAGTCCGAGTTTGTTCGGGACAAAGTCCATGTGCCTTCGATTAGTTTGAAGCCACACAACAGTGTCCAGATTTCCCAGAACAAATCTCACTTCCGAGCGCTTTTGCGCCGTCTTCTGCATCAAAAATGTGTGTATGAGACACACTAGACCTGTGGCTTGCCTGGTCTCTGGCGGAATGTCAGGAAGGTATATTTTTTGAAGTTGACCTATTTTTACAAGACATTGGAGTTTCTGCCAGAATTGGACCTATATTGATGATTGGAGGGCCATCTATGTCATTCACAAGGCTGATGAGAAGTATGTTCAACGGGCATTCCGCCCAGTTCACAGTGCAAAGAGCCAGCGCGTATGCATATATCAAGCAAAGCCACATCTGGCAGTGGCCCTCTTGTTTACACGCAGCATGGCCCACAGGCCAGTCACAGGAACATGGTCTGCGTAGTTGGCCAGGAGACCACACTAAAGGATTCCGGATCTGCGGCGACTTCACTGCTTTGAAGCAAAGCGGGAATGCTGCTAGATATTGTCCAATGTGGGCGGCCGAAGTCGATTCTCCGCAGTTGGTGGCCCACTACCGCTCAACCTATGATGACACCTTTTTGAGGCAGACCTTGGATGACGCGAAGCAGTTCTGGTCCGCTGGGCGACGCATCTGCTGCTTGTCCCAGTCCCAGGATGGTTGGCCCACTTTGGCCGTCAATCTGGTATGATGCCTGAAGCACTTCGTTTTGACCAAGGAGACGTACTGTACATCATGTGCTTTCAGTCTTCGCGCAGAGAGGTGTTCGAATACGGTTCTCTGGCTTTAATGGGTTGAAAAGATGGGATGCTGACGAAAGTACTGATGGTGCGCAACCTTTGCCGCCCACGGTGGTGCAGCAACTCTTGGTGCAACCAGCTGCGCACTTTAGGAACATTTTCCAAGAAGTAGGCTTGAGCGCAGCAGCTTTGCAGAACTTGGATGAGGAGCAAAGATAAAGAGCTGTGGCAGAGGCTTTGGTGCGTGAAGCAGGTTGTGTCCATGCGGGAAAAAGCCACATTTTGCTCGTGTTTCTCATGGAATGGGCGAACAAGTCCGATGCTTCAGCCTTGTGACAAGCAGACAGCGCCACAGAGGTAGCGAGCTGCACGCCCTGAGGCGTCTGATGTCACAGGACGCAGTGTGCATTTTGGAAGGCCACTCGGAGGAAGCGCCGCATCTTTACGCGCAAGCCAAGCAGCATGTGACAAACCGCTTGAGTCAAGCCCTTCAACGACTACAGGAGTTGGACAACAAAATAAATATTCATGGATAGCCGGGAGCCGATGGCGTTAGCTCTCCATGCTGAGCGTCTCCGAGAAGTTCCCCAAAACCCACAATGGTGGAGGCTGAGGGCCACTTCAACCAGCTTTCAACATAGCTTCTTTCCGCACTGTTCTATCCATTTGTCCATATATGGATCTACCTACGCGTCTATCTGTCTATCTATCTATCTATCTCCTGTCTAAATACAGTGATCGATCTATCTATCGATCCTTTCTGTCCTATTCTACTCTAATCTTTCCTTTTCTGTTCTATTCTATTCTCATCTGTGCTACTCTAACCTGTTCTATTCTAATCTATTCTATTCTAATCTATCTAACTATCTATCTATCTATCGATTTCTCTCTCTCTCTCTCTTTCACTATATCTCTCTCTCTCTCTATCTGCACTTCCGAGTTCACAAAGTGCGGCGCCTGCCACGAAAGTTGCGCTTCAAGGCCACAAAGTACTGCGCCTACCACGAAATCTGCACTTCAAGGTCCACAAAGTATTGCACCTGCCACGAAATCTGCACTTCAAGGTCCTCAAATCACTGCGCCTGCCACAAAATTTGCAGTTCAAGGACCGCAAGGTATTGCGCCTGCCACGATATCTGCATTTCAAGGTCCACAAAGTACTGCACTTGCCACGAAAAACGAACAACACTGAAATTATATCAAAAAGAAACAAAAAGTCTTAATATTCCTAAATCAAATCCAAGCCCACTTACATCAAGGAGTCCATTTTGCAGCATGAATCATTTGTAGATCGCTCGCTCAAGTGAGGAGAGACATGTGTTGTATATTCTCTTCTGGAAAGAATATAGGCCGCTCACGAGGTTCAATTTGCATTCTGAGCCCTGTATCGCAAAAATTTGACCGATAGCCGCGGTCCTTTGCGTTTGATAAATCTAATTTTTAACCAAGAGGACATACATAGACTTCCCGCGTACGCCGGCGTAATTGTTTTTGTTGCTTTTCGTGGGCACCCCCTTTGACTAACAGGTAGGGCCAAGGACTGCTCACAGGTTTAGGTGTATTTGTCCGTGTCACAAGATCTACATGTGGGTATGAAAACGGTCCATGTTAGTTTTAGTGTGTCAGGTTCAACGTCCCAACACCTGATTGTTGGCATGTCGAATAGCATGTTGTTTCCTCTTTTTTTAGCGGCACCAGCGCAAACGGGGTGGATTCGTGGTTGCTGGACATAAACTGTTGTTTCCTTGAGTTAATCCCATGATGGTGTTGTAAGGGGATTTGTTGGACACATATCAACTGACATCACCTGACTATCAACTGACATCACCTGATAATTTTTCCGTGGACGTAGAACATAGTACAAACATGTACAAAACCTTCTTGTTCGAGATAATCACCAGCTTTGTGTGGAAGTAGATCATAGCAGTGATTAGTGGATATAACCTGTGTTTTAATTGTTCTTCCACTTCCTCCAGATCCTCCCAACAGCTCCCGAGGAGTAGTGCGGAGCCTGACACTCCGTCGCCCGGATGCATCCAACGGGCCGGTGAGGGCAGTGCTGATGGCGAACCCCATGCCACAGTGGTGTTCCTTTGCTTCTGGTTCTGGAGCAGATGTCTGTGGAACATGGAACAAAAGTGCGGAGAACGAACAGGTGAACTTTCAACAATGTATGTTCATGTCATTCATGTTCAACAAGGTTAGTTTCGATCAATTCTCAGTTCGAGGGTCAGTTGATCATCTCATATCATGTGGAAAAACAACGCAAACAGGATCATTTGTGGTGACTAGATGTTGCGGTGGGAAAGGCCGGATTGCAGGGTGCAACCGTTCCCTTCTTGATGTCTGTCGCTTGCGACCTGAGCTTTGGATCGAGAAGTTACTTTTTGTTTCACAGTGTCAGGAATGGACCAAACTTACCATAAATGATGATACCCACAACTGAAACACACCAACTTCTTGCGGCAGACCATGCAGTTGGGTGGGTGGTGCAGTTGGCAGACCACCCATCCTGTGACAGTACTTTTTTGGGGGGGGAAAACCTGGAATCAAGATCCAGCACTGCAGTTGGGAGCTGACTCGATGTTCACTCAGATTGTGGCCCTTTGATTGGCCAAGCAGCTGCGATGAATCCGAAGACAGTAGACTTCAACCTCCCCAGACAGGCATTGACCAAAGCCTCTTCAGACTTGGAGCATTCGGACTTGGTCAAGAGTTTAGCAGGTCAGTTTGTCCTAGTAAACCTGTAACAGATCGGTCCAACAAGAACATCACAGTTGTAGAGATGCAAGGGCCTCCAACGTAACCATCATCCTCCAAAACGGGCCCTTGGTAATAGGATTTTTTATACCTATATAATATTGTGAATTTGTATGCATTGGAACATGCATATCATGATATGAGATGGCGGCCCTCTCATGTGACCATTTTGGCACAAGGGCCCTTGAGTCTGGCTCATCCGAGCCCCCGACGGTTGCGCAATGGAAAAGTGAGCGCACCGCTTGCTTTTGATCGTGACGGAGTTCTTTGATCCCCGTTGGTTGAGTTGTGACAGTTGCCTTTATAAGTTGCTGTTGATCCTCCGCTCACCATTTTACATGGTAGCGGAGCTGCCAAGCTCCAGGATTGCTTTGTGAGGTCCCGGCCTGATCCCGGGTGCGGTGCAAACCGCAGAGCAGCTCGTGCCATCTAGGTGCATTGCTTGTGCAGTGGTGCAAGGTTGAGTTGACGTTGATTGTTGAGCATTGAGCATTGGTTGTTGGTTGTGGAACATTGTTGTTTGTTGTTGGCAGTTTGAGCCATGGACTACAAAGACACTCTCAAAGACCTCTACTTCGATGGGAAGCCAAGCGGATATCGTGAGTTCAGACGCAAGCTGATCCTTGGTGTTGCATCCCTTGAGGACAAGCAACAACACCTGGCCGGTCCTCGAGTCCTCGGAAGATTGTCTGGCGAAGCTTGGAAAGCGACCGAAAACATTCCAATTGCTGACCTTCGATGTGAACAAGGCTGGCTGCAAATTGTTCGGACGCTTGATCAGCATTACCGTTATTTGCCCGAGACCGAGCTCCACGAGGCCATAGATGAGTTCCTTTTTGGGTTGAAGCGGAAAGGACATGAGGGAGCCACTTCCTTCACATCCCGGTTCAAGACAAGTCTGCATCGCCTGGAAACGCTCATCTCACAGGAGCGTCAGCTGTCGAAGAAGCAACCGAAGTCCGCAGTCGAAGAAGAAAAGAAAAAGGAAGATTCGAGTAGTCTGGAAGAGTCGGACGAACATGCCCTACCTCCAGACGATCCCAATGAACAAACAGATGAAACTGAACAAGAAGCTGGAGATGAAGTCCGGCCAGAAGCCAAGGCCAAAGCAGCACCTCCTCCAGGTCCTTTTGATCCTCCCCTTGATCCTCATCGTCGGACCGGATCCACTCCATCAGTCCGAAGTGCGAAGTCGAGCTCAAAGGCTTCTCAGGGGAAGTCCACTGGGACTCAAAAAGGTGACCAGCGAAAAGATCATCTCCGTATGCAACGTCTTCTTGGAACATTGGAGCAGTCGCATACAAAGCCCAAGCCGATTTTTCCACAGTCAGTTCTGGGACACTTGTTCATGAGAAAGTTTGGTTTGTCGCGTGAGCAACGCAGCCACATCATTCGTTCAACAGGCGGCTCCAGTCGATTTGTTGACATTGAGAAGATTTTGCGTGCTAGTGACTATGAGGAGAGATTGGATGACCGGCGACCACGGCTGGACGATCGTCGACAGGTGAGACCACGACGCGAAGCCTATGCTGTTGAACAAGTTGCTGAAGCTTCATCCACCTCCGTCGACCCACTTTCTGACTCCGGGTCTGGTGAAGAGGCCTACCAAGTTGAGGGTGGCGAAACATCTCTGGGTTCAGGTTCTGAGGAAGAGCTGCAGGAGATCTATGAGATTCAGAAGAAAGCAAAGAAAGAATTCAAGAAACAGTTTCGCACCTACAAGGAGTCAAAGAAGAAGGTGAGGGAAATCAAAAGAGCACGACAACCATACATGCCGGTGGTGGCCATTCCACCCACCGAAGGCGGCCAGTCCCAGGCTCCACTGGGAACTCAGGCTGCATCGTCCAGAACACCACGCTATGAGAAAAGGTCCTTTGACAAGAAGTCACCACAAAAGGACCCAAAGAAGAAACCACCGAGGCGTGAGGACGCCAACCTGACAGAAGCTGTGGAGATTGTTGACAGGACATTGACCGAGTTCAACTATGCCCTGACCGAGTCCACCGCTGCTGAACTGGAAATTCTCCTGGCCTCAATTCCATCGGGTTTTGCAATCATTGATACTGGTTGTACAACATCCGTTGTTGGCGAGGAAACAGCACAGAGATATCAGCAGGTTTTCAGACAATGCAATTTTCCTCCACCCGTGCGTGTCACAATGCCTACAGTTGAGCTTCGTGGCTTTAATGGTCAGAGCGAAACAACAGCTGTTGGTTTGAAGTGGACAGTACAGCTGGGTTCGTTGAAAGGGAATATCACGACATATGTTGTTCCTGGAAGCGCACCATTCCTGCTGTCACGAAGGGTGTTGGAGGGTATGCAGGCCACACTGGACTTGGGCCGAATGACCATCACGAGTCCAAAACATGGTATGCAAGATGTACCCCTGAAACAGGCCGCAAATGGCCATCTGCTGTTGTCTCTGGTGCCACAGGTTGCTGAGTGGGAGACAGTCCTCAACGACTCGAATACAAATGAGCCCAATCCGCATGAAGCCCAAGCGATGGACCGCCAGTCCATCTCCGTTGATCTCGAGCACCACCAAGAACTCAGAGGACAGGACACGAACAAAAACAGTGTTTTAAGTGCACCAAAAATGGAGCCAACCCCGTGTGATACTCGGAGGGCGTTTCAAACTGTGTGTAAACATACCAAACGAGGAAACGTCGATTGCAGTGCTTTTCGTGCCGAGCTGTCCCAATTGTTTTCATGTCCCGAACACCCGGTGGTGCATGCCTATGTAGCATATAAACCTAGACTAGAAAGGATTCCTGCCGAAGCCGAACGAACTTCACTTGATATGAATGTAGTCTCTATGGATAAAGGTGGAAACATGCTCATGTCAGGATGGATCGTTCGTCCAGCCGGACGGGTCAGAAGACCTGTCAACCCAATGCAGGTTGCGATCTTTGCATTTCGATCCGAGCAAGCACCCTCTGAACCTGAGAGTGCCGGCAGTGAGTCCGATCGTGTCGAACCAGCAGAGCCGACGCCATCAGCGCACCAATGTGATTGTTGTTGTAATGATGACATAGAAGGGGATTGGGAATACACCATGCAATCAAACACCCTCGAAACTTTGTATGAAGAGGTTGACTGGGTAGATCTTGACTTGCAGGATGTTCCAAAAGAAACCCAAACGAAACTGAAAGACGCAATCACAGCTGCACGCCGTGTCGGTGTACGCATGGCTTTGTCGCGACTGCAGAGCAATCGGCAGGAAGTGCTTTCAGAACTTCGCCACTGGTTGGGCAACCAGGCTAGTAAACTTGACTCCAAGGTTGGACTCATAGAAGTTTTCACAGGAACAGCCAATTTGTCCAAACAGTACGAAAAGAGAAACCAGAAAACAGCAATCCAAATTGGGATAGATTATGGACATGATCTTGGTAGGTTGAGGGATAGACGAAATCTCCTATACCTGGTAGCCTTGACAAAGCCTGATCACATTTGGTTTGCTCCCCCATGTAAGTGCTGGGGTCCCTGGTCGAGGTTCAATATGGCATTTTCCGAGTCTAGGAAACAAGAAGTATTGAAAAAGAGACATCAAGCTAGAAGACATCTGCAATGTGTTTCGGAAACATGGCATCTCCAAACCATCCTTGGAGGTCATGTACATGCTGAGAATCCGCACTCGTCCGATATGTGGCAGGAGTTAGTGCTTGGACCAGCCTGGTCAATCCGAATTGACCAATGTGCACTCGGGCTCCGTAGCCCCAAATCCAACATCCCTGTCTTGAAGCCAACTCGGATTGTCAGCACTCAGGAGTCTTTGATGCAGCACCTTGTCCCATTTCGGTGCGACCATAAGCATGGTCATGATCATCTAGAAGGAAACTACAAAGGTAGAAATCTGACATCCTGGGCCGAGACATATCCTAATAAGTTTGCACGTGTCATGGCCGATGGTCTTGCCAAAAGTCTCCATGGACATTTGGGTCCAGATGCAGTAGAGATCTTAGCTCAAGATGAAGAAGAAGATCAACTAGAAGAAGAGATAGAAGATCGATCAGAGAGACTGCCAGACCATGACGAGCCAAATTCGAACAGCCGAAGTTTGAATCCCAAGCAGCTGCGAGTGTCCGCATTGGTTCGTAAATTGCATGTGAACACAGGTCATGCATCGACAGAACAAATGTTGAGGCTCGCGAACCGTTGCCAAGCCAGTCAAGAAATTGTGGACTGCATTCGGAACTTCCAGTGTCCCATTTGTAATGAACTCAAGCCTCCACCGTCATATCGTAAGAGTGCAATCCCCCATGCAGAGAACCCGAATGACATAGTGGGTATTGATTTTGTTCAAGTAGAACTCAAGAGAGAGGGACGTAATGGGAAAATGACCGAAGTCAAGTTCAACGTGTTGACATGTGTTGATATGGCCACAGGTTTCGCACAACAGATCATCGTTGAACGCGGTCCCAATCAGCTGTCAGTAGCTTTCCATAAGGTGTGGACACGTCCCTACGGCACTCCTAAGATAATATTCATGGACCCTGCCAAGACTAATCTCTCCCAGGATTTCCAAGAGTACCTAACACACCATGGCATTCAGTTGTTGCATGCGGCTGCCGAAGCACACTATCAGCTAGGTCAAGTTGAAATTGCCAATCGCATTCTCAGGAACATGGCCAATCGTTGTTGGCCAGGCACTGACCGTCCACCAGAAGAGGTAATAGAAATGTGTGCAACAACCCGTAATGAACAACTTCGAAAGCATGGTTTCAGCCCAGCACAATGGTTCTTGGGAAGGGACTCACGCCATGTGGGAATGCTTGCCGACTTGGATGAGCAAAGAAATTTTGCTGCCCAGTCGCAAATCCTGTCAGATCCATCGTTTGCATCCAAGATTCGCCTTCGTGAAGAAGCGGCCAAGGCCTTTCATGAAGAACATGCGAAGGATGTTTGGCGAAGAGCTGTAGCCTATAGACATCGTCCCATGCGAGGACCATACGTACAAGGTCAACTTGTATACATGTTTCGAGCAGCAGGAAGAGGTCAGCTTAGCACAAGACATGGTAAGTGGTTAGGACCTGCCAAAGTAATTGGGGTAGAAAGTTCATCAAATAGTCCCATACCACGCCTAGTTTGGACAAGCTATAATGGCTATCTCTATAGATGTCGACCAGAAGGCCTCCGTCCAATGTCCGAAGACGAAACTGAGTTTCGAGCGCTTGCAAGAGAACTTGCATTAGGCCAGCTGGCACCGGAAACGGAAGCTGCAGGTAAATCATTGTCGGAGGGCGTCGCTCGTTTTCATGATCTCACAAAGGACATCCCTGGTCCAGAGGACTTCGAACTCAAGGAAGATGTAGAAGCCGAACCTCATCCTGAGACCATCGATGACAGACCTGATTCGGAGGGTAGACCACATAAGATAAGACGTAGATTCTATCGTTCCCCTGAATATTGGCAAAAGAGATCACGAGGCGAGATTCCACCTCTCGGCAGTATGCATGAACAAGAGTTGAATCAGCAGCCATTTGCCGCTGTTGCTCCTGAAGAGATCCCCGAGGATAGACTTGAGCCAGCCGATAAACGTAGAAGGGTTGTTGAAATTGATTCATCTCCAAGTTATGCACCCACCGAACCGCCAGTTCCTCTTGAAGAAGAGGGATCTCAGTCAGGCTTTCAAATGCACAACGAGCTTGATGAGCTCATGCCTGACCCAGGTGCTGTACCTGCACACCTGGAACCAGAGACAGACACTAATCCGCCCGAATCCGATAGACCCGATAACACCGATGAAGTAATGCCTGAAGTAGACTCACGATCGAACGAGATCGAACCATCTGGCATAGATGTTCCCGTTCCAGAAGCTGGTGAAGACGAACTAGCGGTAACAGCCAGATTGCAACAGGCAGAACATGTGTTCGAACTTTCCATTGACGTCCATCCCGAAGACATCACTGAGAATCCTCTGTGTCTCTGGAATCTTTTTGAAGAATGCTTGCAAGCTGCGCCGCAGTCCAAGGCGAAGCAAAGAAGGGTTGAAGTCCAGTTCCGCAAACTCAATCCACACGACAAGAAACTGTTTCTCCAAGCTATGCAAAAGGAATGGCAAAGCTGGATTGACAATAAGGTGACTTCACTTTGCAAGGCTAGAGGGATTCCTACAGAAAGAATAATTAGAGCAAGGTGGGTCTTGGTATGGAAAAAGTCATCCGATCCTGATATCACATCCAAAACTCCAAAAGCACGTCTAGTTTTGGTAGGATGGCAGGACCCGGACCTAGGAAAGGTAGCAACAGACAGTCCAACTTTGCGTAAGGAAACAAAGCACCTTGTTCTATCCATTTGTTCAGCATCCAAGTGGAAGCTATGGGGAGCCGACATAAAAACAGCGTTTTTGTCAGGTGATGAATCTTGCAGAAACATTTACTTTCGACCTCCAGCAGAAATCAAACAATGGATGAACTTGAGTACAGATGACCTGTTTCGTCTTGAGAAGGCTGCCTACGGCCTGGCTGAGGCACCACGTGCTTGGTTTTCCCGCCTGACCAGGGAACTTAAGGAAGCAGGGCTAACCCAGAGCCAGTTGGATCCATGTTTGTTTATGTTGAGGAGTAAGTCCGATAACACTTTGAAAGGCATATGTGGAGTACACGTAGATGACCTACTAGGTGGAGGTTGCAAGGAAATGGACCAAGCCTTGGACCGACTCCGAAAGAAATTGCCGTTCGGTGACTATCGTACTTTCACAATAAGATATACAGGAGTAGAGATTCGACAAAATCCAAATACGATGGAAATTGAAGTAGGACAAGAAAATTACATCGAGAATTTGGAACATGTTGAAACGAAGACTTTGGGAAACGCTTCAACGTCCCTTACAGATCCTTCTATCCTTAGAACTTGCGCCGGTCAGTTAGCCTGGGTGTCGAACTCGACACGTCCGGAACAGGCATTCCTGGCTTCGTATCTTCAAGGGGTTCAGGATAAGGGGAAAGTTGAACACGTCCACTTGTACAACAAAGCCGTGAGGGAAATGAAAACTAGAAAAATCTGTTTGAAATTCCCTAGCCACGTTCCAGTAAAAGATTGGCACATCGTGTGTATTGCTGATGCTGGCTGGTGTACTAGAGCTAACGGTGAAAGTCAAGGTGGATATATCCTATGTCTTACGACCAAAGACATCATGAAGAACAAGGAATCCCCTGTATGGATAGTAGATTGGAGTTCTAAGAAGTTACGACGAGTAGTTCGTTCCTCAGTAGCAGCAGAAACCATGTCCGGTCAGAATGGACTTGATGCGATTGAGTGGATTCAATCCCTGCTTGCTGAGATCCTAGAAGGCCAATCGCCTCGAACATTTCGAGAACGAGTCCCAGAAAAGACAGCATGCCTCGTTGTTGATAGCAAGGGTTTCTTCGATGCAGTCACAAAATCGTGTAGCTCTCCTACTATTAGCGTAGAGAAGAGACTTCAGATCGACTATGCCATCGCAAAGGAAAGCATGTCCTTGCAGAACATCATGGTCTTTTGGACTAGTAACATTTTCATGTGTGCAGACGTGTTGACTAAACTACGAGCCGACACAGGACCTTTCTATAAACTCGTTGACACTTGGAAATACACCATCCACACCGGAGTAGAGTCAGGTAAGAAAGAAAAAGCCAAGGCTAGAGCTGCAGAAGCAGAGAAACGTCAACTAGATGAGCACTAGGGCCCATGCATGCATGTTGTGAAGTGAATCCAACATTTGCTTGGTGAAACTTAAGAATTTGTTAGTTAGGTTGAGAAACCATCCATTGCCAGCCACCTCGAACCAGTTCGTTGCTGAGGAGTCGTCCTGGTTGTTTTTCTCATTTTTCTTGTGCCGCATCGGTTAAACCGAATTTTGCACAGCCTTTTTGCTCCAAGGAGCGCACGACCGTGAAGTGTCGCCCATTCAGTCCCGCAGGATCATGTCGAAAGCAGCAAAGACCGATGATGAAGAATATCACATCCGGTCACCACTGACGGATCAGGATCTTAGCATGTGTGCCGGCCTTCTCCATCGAGCTGTCCGTTTCGGACAAAGTGCACAGTTGCTCCAGCGTGTGAACGACTGGGTGAAGATTCGTCCAGACCTCCGACCAAATGTTGTGGGAGCTCAGGTCATCGTGGATGCCTCCATGTCCGCCATGACTGATGCTGCAAAGCGACGCATGGATGCCGATGAGACCTCTCAGGCCTCGAATCCGTGGGAGCTCTTGAATGCCAATGAGCCTACCGGTTCAACCATGACACCGGAGCACCTTGCTGTGAGCCCAAAGGGATATGAAGCTGGAAAGGTGAACTTGTTCCCAGTGGCCAATGTGACTGATCCCTTGATTCCCTTGCCTGAAGGAATCAGCACCGTAGAGAAATGGGGACAGACCATCTGTCGTATGGATAAGGTGAAGGCTGAAAGCCTCACGTATGATCAAATGATCATGACGGCCCGCACGAATTCGAAGAAAGGAGAAGACATGCGTCAGTACCTCCAGTTCATTTTGTCAAAGTATGGTACTGGTGGAAAAGTGCCATCCAAGATTACCAAGGCCGTGGACTTTGCCATGTACCTTGAAAAGGTGAAATGGAAGAAGCCTGATTTTGAAGGTCTTGCTGAGAAGTACGGATTCAGCCGAGAGCTGCGTGACTGAACAGTGTCGCTGACAGCATGGTCCCATCTTCGCACCGCCATGAGGGCGTGTGAATTTGTATGCATTGGAACATGCATATCATGATATGAGATGGCGGCCCTCTCATGTGACCATTTTGGCACAAGGGCCCTTGAGTCTGGCTCATCCGAGCCCCCGACGGTTGCGCAATGGAAAAGTGAGCGCACCGCTTGCTTTTGATCGTGACGGAGTTCTTTGATCCCCGTTGGTTGAGTTGTGACAGTTGCCTGTATAAGTTGCTGTTGATCCTCCGCTCACCATTTTACAAATATACACCCAAATTCTACATGATGTTTCATAGATCACTAGATCACCCAGCACACCTAAGACTCCGTAGCATCACCACGGACTGGACCCCCAGAAAGAGCCGCCCACACCCGACCACTTTGACCTGGGACAATGAGGTGGAGCGAACGTGGAAGTGTGGATCAGCCGCTTGTGAAGATGGGACTGACATGGACTGACTGGGTTTCAGGTTGGCCATGTTGAGAACAGGTTGGCTTCTGAATGGCGGGTCTCGTGGCGTTGAGGGAATCAAACAGATCAATGTTTTTTTGGTTGCGAAGGTCGTGGGTGTAGCTTTTTGGTAAGCAGGGCTCCAACTACCTCCATTTCGATCATGGTCGGGGTGGTGCCAGGGGGGTCTGGGGTTGGGGAACCCTCCAATCTTCTTCCTTTTAGCGCTTCCTGTCGGGATGCCCTGTCTGGAGACCTGTTTAAGTAGTCTGGAGATAACCATTGGTGACCCCGAACGGAAGCAGCCTATAGGACCCCTTTTTCAACCTTCTTTTTCAACCTTCTTCCTTTGAATTTGGATGCCACCTGCATGGGCTGCAACGGGGATGTGCTCACGCCTGGTGCAATGTGGCCAGTTTGTGCCCTTCAGGTCCTTTGGTCCTTCGGATGTGGATCGACCGGAGGCATCGAGGCATCGGGTGGGCCCATCGGATCCATCGCAGAGACCACGAGGGTCTTCCACGCAGGCCACCACGGGCCATGGCATGATGTGCTCGGAAAGGAGTCGTAACGAAAAGTAACACGCAGGGAACGGACGCGCCCGCCCTAGACTGATCCCTGATCCCTGAACCCGACGTCGTAAGTACCGAAGAGCAAAAATGGGACGTCTGACCCGGGCCCGGGAGTCGTGTCAGGTACTTTCCTGGGGCCCTCCGAGTCGACTCCAAGGTACCAGGTGGACTCGTCCTGTCGACTGTGTGTCTCGCTCACGAAGCGCGAGGTCCGATGTGAGCGGATGGCCGGCCGAGAAGCAGAAGCAGCCGGGCTGAGAAGAGAAGCAGTGGGGTGGAGCAGGGTGGGCAGATGGAGATGTTATAGCAGATTTAACGAGTGTCCTGCAACTACAAAACAATTCAATTGTTTCCAGTTGGTGTCCTCAACTTCTGAGAATGTGACAAGTAATGCAAGTTTTGGCCAGTCGACATTGCCTTCCAACATCCCACAGCCAACAAACCAGAGCACTGGTCCACAGGGATGCTCGCCGAGGCCAAGCATCTCAGAAGCAGAGTTCACCGAAGAGGAGGGCATGACCGTCGCGCGGAGCTTCGCGCGGAAGATATTGCCCGATGGTGGGTCGCTTGGCCCACTCAAGTGAGGTTGGGCAAGACGATTCTCAGGCGTACTCAACTGGACCCTTTCTGTTATAGACCCTTATAATGGCGGTGTAGTCCTTTTGTTTTAGAAGGGATCTCTCACTAAAACACTCAAGGTCAACCGGTTAAACCCTCAGGCAAGGGCCACAAACTAGTCCTGCTATACCAGTTTAATCCAATAGCACTGGCACGAAACACGGTATTTGATGAGCCTTGCGGTTTGGGGTCCAACCTGGGGTGTAGCCAAAACCAGCAACAGTAACAGTATGCAAAAGTCACAAATGATTGAGAAGTTGGCCTGCAACCCAACTATCAAAAACGGGCCCGGGGAGAATGGTACGGTATGATATCATGTTCCCAAGTTCAAGCAGTTGTTGGTTTCCGAAAAGGCGCGCGCACGAATCACACGCCGAGCGGCGCAGCCAAGGCAAAGCTCTGACGAGGAGATGGCTGAAGAGGCCCAGAAGAAGCTTGGATTGAGCTGATGTTCATTGACATTGGGTTCATCATGGTTCAACGTTCATCCCCATCAGTTGGTAGATGTTACGTTGGAAGATCAGGCCTTTTTAAAGGCCAATTATAATCCACTGTTAGATAACGGGATCCATTGTTTGTTCAAGATTCACTGCAGTTGGCATCATGTTGCCCAGATTGTTGAGACGTAGCGTTGTTTGCGGGCCACTTTTCTCAAACAGAAGGTGATTTGTGATGTTTAGGTTGCATCAGAATCATTTTTGTTGACCCCGGTCCCCATGTAACAAGCACCCTCTGCTGCTTGAGATGCGGAATGTCACCCACCATAAGTGATGACTGGCTAGACGGTCGGCCAACTTGCTGTAGTTGAAGGCAGACATCTTGCACCACCCGAGATAAATACAAAAATGCATTTACATGTATCTTGAGATTTGCCTTTGGTTGCGGTGGTTCTACCTGGTGCCTGTGTCTTTTTCGATCAATCACTGAGGCAGGCATCCGGCCTTTTATATGCATATGGCCTGTATACTGAGCATGAAGGTTTGCAGTGTAGGGCCTCCGGGGCCTCCGCTCGGCCGCTATACCGTCCACTCCGTTGTTCGGATCGTCGACACCGAGGCCTGAGCCGGACCGCAAGAGTCTCTCGGAGCTGGAGGATGAGGACCTGGATGTCCTGGTCGAAGAGACTCTCGGCAACTGGAGAAGAGCAGAAGAGCCGGGACCCACAGAGGTGGAAGAATCCTAAAAAGACTATCCAGGTACCCCAGTAGTGCCAGTAGGGTCCTACTGTACAATATGGTCACTTAACCTCTGTTGGGATGTTGTTTGAAGGGCATGGCCTGCAGGGCGGTTGCCAGGGCCACCGAAAAAGAGGAGATTCGACTCCATGAAGTCGGTTGATCTCTTTTTTTGGAAGGAAGCAGCAGAGGTTGAAGAACCCTATAGACTATCATATAGGTACCTCTGTAGGGTCCAAGTTCAGGTCACTTCACTTAACCTCTGTAGGAATTCATGTCCTTCTCGAACTCCGCTGAAACTGGGGGTCCTCAATATCAGTCGAATTTGGCAATGACTCTCAGTCGAAGCTCTAAGCTTGACGGCTTGACGGTGTCCGTGGGTAGTGATAGTTTCTATTGAGGAGTTGAAGGGCTATTGTTCAATAGACCAACTCTTCTTTGACGGGGTCCGGTGGGGTGGCCGGGGTCTCTTCCACCTCCGGTTCCGGGTTCCCTTCAACCAACGGTTCCCTTCAACCAACGTACCAAGGCACGAAGAGTCCGACATAGAGCTTCTCGAAGACGATCAGGATGTGGTGGTTGAAGAGTCTCTTGCAGTGCGAACCATTGGACTGTTTGCGGGACGTGCCCGGTGCGGCGGGGGGGATCTAGAGCAGCAGAAAGGGGATGAGGAGTGTCACGTCATTTAATGTGCAAGCGGACTTGATTATTCCTAGCAGAAGAGGTGACATTCATTGTGTTTTTGAAAGTGGACTGATTGAAGTGTTTGACTCACAGCTCGACAAAGAACATCAACACAACAGCAATTGTGTTTGGCCCTTGAGAATGCTTGGACCTTGGGACCATTGGGGTCCATGGAGGCCAGAGGGGTCCATGGAGGCGGCAGTCCTCTGACAGACGTTTGGGTCGTGTTTGGGACGTTGCATGAGCCACCAGAGGCGAGTGGGGTCCGATGCACGAAGGAGTCATACCTCCGAAGCGGTTCGGTATGACTGAACCCTCGCACCCGGGCCCCCAGTCCCACCTTCTCAGAAGCTATTTGGAGGCCTAGGGCCTAGGGTTTGATATCATGACTGGTCCATTTCCATTTGCTCAGATCTACATGACTCGCTGGAACTTGCAGCTTCTTTGCACGCGGTGCACGGTTGTTCAGGAGAGATAATTGTTGGAACAAGGAGCATGCCAATCGGAAGATAGGACGAATGGGTGAAAGTGAAGATCTGTCCCAAAGGGGCTCCAAGTATATATACCTCCTCAGAAGGTACAGTTGGAACCTGAAAACCCACCCCTAAACCACCTTCTTAGACAATACTACTTGGAGCCCTTTAGGGAATCGGAGCCCTAGGGTTCACTAGGGCCCACTAGGGAATCAGAGCCCTATAGGGAACCCTAGGGTGAACCCTTAGAAAATACATGAAAATACTACTTGGAGCACATTGGGTTCCAAGGTGAACTCTATAGGGTCCACCTCCTTGAAGACTGATGACGCCAGGATGACCATGACGCCATCCAGGATGACGCCCGATCTTTCACAGTTCAAGATGTTCAATGCACCACCAAGTGCCCTTCCGGCTGAATGAGAATTCCATGGTCTGAGTCTTGTTCTTCTTCTCGTAGTGTTTCTGTGCCTGAGGCTGGAAGATGAGCCTGACAGAGCCTTAGAGGCGTATCTTGGCAGATGTCAAAGTTCTTCGCCGGCATCGGGTAGAGGGACCCAAAGAGAAAACAAACACATGAATCTCAGTGAACTTCTTGCAAAACCACCTCAGAACCATCATAGCTCCATCTAGCTTGAAGTGATTGGAAAGCAGATTTGATGGTACAGACTCAGCTGTCCAAAGCTATTGGTCCATTGATCCCTTCTTTTCAATGAATCCCGGACAAATCACCGAGTTGCTTAAATATGTTCTGCCACAATACTCACCCAACAAATAGCTTATAAGACCAAGATGCCAAGACCCCGATAGAAATCCTCCAATGGCTTCCGTTTTGGATCCACAACCACTTGGTGTCCTTTTTCCCGCTGAAGAAGCATGTCCCAGAAAAAACCTCTTGAAGGCTCCAGAGTAAGTGCACCAAGGCCCTTCGACCAGCCGCCGAACGAGCTGGCGCCCAAGTCGCTTCTGAAGGAGTTCGAAGCGTCGCTGGGCGCCCAAGGTCGGGTGTCAAATGGACCTACAAAGACACATAAAAAGGGGGTGGTTGCCAGGCCGTGCTATGATGAGTTGATTGTGTTACTGTGTTTGTTCTGTCATTTCAAGAAAAACGACTTGTTTACACATTGATGTTCAACGTTCTTATGGTTTCTTATATCGCTAGGGTTCCAGGGCCGGGTGAGAAGGTCTTAGACCAAGCATGTGATAAACCACCCCAAGTACCTGCTCAGATGGTGCTTGGAGCATTGGGCGATGTTTTTGTTTCGATTATCAAACAAATGAACACTTGCTCAATTCTGAACCAAATTCAACTTTCCATATGTTTTTCCAAGCTGAACTTGTTGTACGACCATGTTTATATATAACAGTACAGTAAGTTATAGGACTACACGCTCGCAAGAAGGTCCTTCTTCCTTGGCTTTCTTTTCCTGATGAGCCGGCCTCTGAAAAGGGATGCTGGAGTTGCCCACCCAAAACAACCTGTTCGAAGCTTCAAGCGATGCGCACTCTTGGGTTCGGATTTCAGCATGCGTGCCGCATACCCCACCCTGTTTCAAGTCCTGATTCTTGGGAAGCAATTTAAAAGAAAATGCAAAGTGAAGTTTCTGAACGAGACCACAAGACCACAAGTGACACATTCCAGCTTCTTCCAGGTCATCTTTTTGGAGTTCATAAGTGACCTTTTCCAGGCTTAAGTGACCTCAAACCAGGGGATGAAAAGGTGACTTCGAAGAATCACATTGTTTGACCCTCCCAAAGACCGCCTGGAAGAGGAAAGCTTTAGCTTTTTGGAGATACTATTTTGAGGTGGTTGGTTGGGTATACTGTGTATAATTACTTGTACTATTGATAATATTGATACTTTTAGCTTAAAGCTGTGTGTTTGAGCACTCACCCAGTTCTCCCTATCTTCCAACACACAGTGGAAGTGTGGAGAAATGCATTTAGCCGTTTATGATCACAGGTATATCTGGAGCATAACAAAGCTGTTCGTAGACTCACTCTCCTCGCATTTCTCAACCCATGCTAGCGTTCGTCACCAACCCCCGGCCTGTGCACCTGCCACGCCTACCACACTGTCACCACCGGTGACTCCCACCCCGAGGCCAGCGTCGCTCGCTCCGCCGGCGGCCGAGCTTCCAGCGCCGTCGGGTGAAAAGCCCGAAGCCTCGAAGGTCCAAGAGTCCCGTGGCAAATGCGCGACTCGCAGCCGGAACCTGGAACAGTTGACCTGTTTGTACCTCCAACAAAACATGGGGGCCCTACAGATACCTATACAGATTTACACCAATAGAGACAACAAATGACACACACATGTACAGGTCAAGAAAACATACCAAAAGGACCTGGGGGCCCTAAGATTTGCCAAGTACCCTACAGGTCAAGAACCTCATTCTTGGGAGTTGGTCAAGGACCTGGGGGTTGGACCTGGGTCAGAGGGGCTGGCGATCGAACGGACTTCTATAGGGGTACACCTTATACTGAACCATACCTACAAAGTGACACGATCTGTGTCGGACCTGGCGGAGAAGATAGTCCTTCAGTCATAGGACACAGGTTTTAAGCCCGTCCCACCCAGTCGGTGGGGCAAAAAGGTCTGGTGATGGGACCGACTTTTTCGGTGGCTCAGGGCGTTGGGCAGGTCTGGAAAGAGGATCTGATCCTAAGAAAGACCACTCCTAGAAGAGGAAAACTTTAGCTTTTTAGAGATACTATTGGGAGTTGGTTGGTTGGTTGGTTTGTAATTATACAGTACAGTATAGGTGTACACTATTGCATATAATTGCTTAATTTCTTTGTATTAAACTGTGTGTTTGGGCGTTCTCTCAGTTTTTCCTATCTTTCGGCAGCACTCGGTGGATGAATGCTGTGGAAACCATGATGGCCAGTGCGAAGACATCGGGACATCGGAAAAAACATCATCGTTCAGCGGGCAACAGCCGCTGGTGCAAGCACAGCTCGACCAAGAGGCTCTGCTGGGCCGATGTGCAGAGATCAACGGCCGACTGGAACGCAGAGAGATCGATGGCATGGAGTACCTGGCAGCCCTTGCCACCATAGGAAGGCGCCTTCATGGACAATGATGATGACAAGCTGCCAAAGACGCCGGTGGCGACCGAGCCCAAACAGCAGAGCAGACCCTTGAAGAGCTGCATCCGACAAGCGGGAAGATGCTGCTGTTGAGCCCGTCAGTCCAGACAAGGACACGGTCTTTGAGTCTTTGAGGGCGAGGACAGCACGGAGGACAGCACGGACATTGAGTTGGCCCTTGAAGGCTACATGAAAACAAGTTGAGGCAAAGGGACTTCGTCGACCACCTATGCCTTTGCGCAACCGAGGAATACTGGAAGGATTTTCCTCAACAAGGGACTGGGAACGCAAGGTCAAGAAGGAGATTGGCAAAGATGCTCCGCCTTGTGCAGCAAAGACTGGCAACACAAAACTGAGAAAACAACAACTGCTGCGCCATCATGATCTGATATGTGGCTCAAAGGCCCATCAATTACTGTGCCATCATGATCTGATATGTGGCTCAATGGGCCACCAATCCTGATTTTTTTTCCACGCATATGTTTCATTACAGTAATGTGTTGTTAACCCTCCTGTTGCACTACACAGCCACAGCAATGGCATTTGCATTACTGTAACCTGAGCACTTAACGCAGTCAAACATTCACTTCCTATGAGTTGGGGAGAAGGCTGTGATGTCTGAAGTCACAGCTTTCTGTCTTTAGGACCCGTTGTGATTCTGTGGGGCATGGAACCATCATGTGCTCTTGAATACCATCCGTACAAAATTACAGCAGCAGTGCTGCCATGGAATCTCTGTCTACACATCCAAGCAAGGATATGATTCCCTAGAACATTTGGAACATCAAGTCTCTGACCCCTGTTTGGACTCCCCGAATGATGACATGTTTTTTCTTGCTGGTCACCCTGATTGGGAAGTAGGAAATATGTATTTTCAAAACGCAGTTGCACTTAAGGAAATCAGCGCAGTAAGGGGAGGACATGCCATACCTCCCCCTTAGGGAGGTCGGTAGCGCTACCGACCTCAGTAAGCCCATGGCTCTCAATCAATGGTGCATGGTTTTTGAATTGATTTAAGCAGCCCTTTCTGCAGTCGGTAGCGCTACCGACCTCACTAAGGGAGGGTATACCAAGCCCTGTCACTACTGAGATGATTTCCTCAAGTGCAGGTATGACACTTTTTGAAAAGTATTAATTCTAAGTTCCAGGGAGATGATCCTCTATCAAAAGGAGAGAGAGGGGTGTGAAGACTGGCTGCCTGACCGATTTTTCATTTAACAACCAGAAGTGAACTTTATGGCTACAGGACCGTTTGGCTGCATGACAGATCTCCGGTTTGGCTGCATGAGGGTCTTCTTTGCCTTACCCTACGCGCAGGTTTACCCACATTTTTATTCGGGTTTTAATGTTAGTTATTGACTTTTTTTGATTCATCATTGAGTACTTCCGAGCTGCGGTCCCAGCAGCAATTATTGTTAAATGCTGGAATGACATTTTGACATTTTTAAGTGCGCCCCAGTAACTCTCTTTTCCTACTGGAGGGCAAGCAACCTCATACAAAGGCAAGCCTCTATGAATCAACGCTTGAAAGAATATCAAGAACATATTTTGGTAAGGGCACTTGCTTTGCAGTCCTTTTATTCTGACAACCACCCTGGACATGGGCAAGCCGCTATGAAGGAAGCCTTTTTCAATCAGAGGGCAAGCCACTCTGATTTTGCAAGGGCAAGCCACTTGAGCATTGTTCAAAACCTAGGTGTTCATATTTAGTAAGGACATGTTCATAAGGAGACTGTGCGTAAGCAAAAACCTGAATTGCGTAAGGTTGCGTAGGTTTTTTTGCTGTAGCGCCTGCGTAAGCAAAGTGCGTAAGCTTGACTTCTCCATGTATTTGCACGTGTGTTTGCTTCCATTTTTGATGTTGGCGCCAAGTAAAAAGATGAAAAAAGTCAAGTGCGTAAGCTCATGTTGTGGTGTGGTGAAGACATGTTATCCGTATCTGTTTGCGTAAGCTCCGCGTAAGCGCTTCATGTTCCCTGCATGGCGCGTAAGCTGAAACGTGAGTCGCATAAGCAAAGCGCAAGCGTGTGCGTAAGCACCTCCTTATGAAACGTTGCTTCAAAGACAGGTTTTGAACAACGCTCACTTGTTTTGTTTCCAACAAATTCACTCAGGGTTGCAAACATAGTGCTGTGACTCATTCCAAATTAAAACGAATGAGTATTCAAATTTGTTTTTTTTTTCAGCAGGTCCAGTGTGCATTTGTGACTTTTAGACCACTTGTTGAAAAGGCCACACAGGATTGATTAGTTCTTAGTACTCAAAAGCTAAGTTAGTGGGATTTAGTGGGAACAAGTTGCAAATTCTGATGTATGGAATGTGAGGGGCAAGCCACCTCTCGTTGGAATGAGGGGCAAACCAGCTTTGGTTAGTCTATGGGATCAAGGGGAGTTACCGTACCTGTCGATCACTATTGAAATATGTTCACCACTGGGAATCAAGGCAAGTAATGAGGGGCAAGCCACCTCAAGGCAAGCAATGAGGGGCAAACCACCTCTGTTTGGATGAGGGTCAAGCCACCTCTTGTTAGTCTATGGTACCAAGGCAACTTACCAGTCGATCGCTTTGAAATATATATATATATATACAGTATTCACCTAGCAAGTTATTTGTTGATTACTTTTGAAACACTGGTTTGACCCAGACAATACAACTCAGGGAATCAAGGCAAGTTACCTGTTCATGACTTTTCAAACATTGGTATCCTCAGACAACAACACACAGTAATATCCAAATTCTTACGTTCACAGAGTGAAAAAGGAAACAATTCTCATGATAAGAATGAACAAAACTGACAGCACTCGCGCCTTGTCACCACCGGTGACTCCCACCCCGAGGCCAGCGTCGCTCGCTCCGCCGGCCGAGCTTCCAGCGCCGTCGGGTGAAAAGCCCGAAGCCGTGAAGGTCCAAGAGTCCCGTGGCAAATGCGCGACTCGCAGCCGGAACCTGAAAAGGCGACCTGAGTAAATACCTCCAGAAAATATGGGAAGGCAAGTGGGAAGGCACTACATAGATGCATACTATAGGTTGTGGTTGTTTTTTTCTAAATAGGGTCAGGGCCCATGTCCCATGATGTCCCATTTACTTCGTCGGGCCCAGGAACATGCGTGGCGCGTGGCGCGGCGGGGACTTTGGTGGATTGAAGGCGTCCGACGGAAGGCACCCCATCCATGTTCCATCTACCTCGGTTGATTTTGTTCAACCTCGATGTCAACTGTGCAACCCCGGTCCCTATCTCTAGGAGGCTTCAATCAACTTCTAGAGGGCGGCTGACAGGACGGGATGGATCGTCGCCCTGTTCACATCCAACACATGCTCATGTAGGAAAACCACACATCCCCTGGTAGACTCTATAGATTCCTTGCATACAGGTATTACTCCAGTGGTGATGAAGTATTCTGTGCATGAAATTCTGGTTCAACTTTGGCTCAACACCATGATTGAACCCACAAACATACGGGTCACCATAGCAGGGAAACTACCGCTTCCCACGGGAATTGGCACATCGATTGAAATGTTCACGTATGAATGGCGGTTGGCAGTGCTCTGATGCGGAGAGCATCTATTAAAAAATATCAACCTGGACCCTCAAAAGTACGTATACCTTAGAACATGAGACATGACATGACCCGAACAAAAGCAAACGGTACTACCTAGCACTTGCACGCACACGTTCGGTATGTACAGGTCCGAGTGCAGGAACTGGTCGACCATGTGCAGACAGGAACAAAGACTGATGATGGTAGGGCCCTGGTAGTTGCCTGCATGGTTGTCAGAGGCTTTCTGTGGTTGATTTTGAGAATTTACACGGGTGTCTTTCTGTGCAAGCATTCAAAGGATTGGCATTGATCACCGGGCGTAAGTCGCCCTAGGAAGCGTTCACGAGTCGGTCTCAGCTCACGAAGAAGAAGCTGGTGAGGAGCTTTTTGGGCACTCTCCCACCACAGCCTCAATGTGAACTGGCGGTGGTTTCAGGTGTTTGCCGGCCCATAACTCATGCCCTGAACAGCTCCCGATCATCCATGAGAATCCATGTCAGTTTTCTACAGAAAGGCCGCCTTCTCCTTGTGAAAAACCGTGGCTCCTCTTTCCCCAGGTCGACGGCTCCAAAGTCGACGCGGGGTGTGCGAAGGCGGACCGGTGCCATCGCCGACGGAGGACGGCGAGGAGGACGTGGCGAGGATGGGCAGAGTAGGAACTTGGAACGGCCGGAGCCTGTGGATGGAAGTGGGCTTGAGTAAAAGTTAGTCAGATCAATAGATTCAGTGATGATGTATTCATTGTATACATTCAGCCCGCAATCCGTTGGATGCCGGGAAAGTCTACAGGAGGCTAGGCTTCCTATTTCTTTTGTTCAAGGGTGCTTTTGCTGATGTTCTTTTTACTTAGACTTATACACAATTTTCATTGGAGAGCGCCTGTTTTCAATATTTGTTTGTAGTAAATTTCGACCCTTTGATACAGTGGTTTCCTGGCAAAGCCAGCAACGAAGGTATCCGGATATTGCTTGGATGACTCCTAATATCTAATACCTGTAACAGTGGATGATGATGGTTCAGTCGCAGGCCTTGTTCAAGAATAGTCATTTGCTTGTGAAACCTGACTGTTACAGGTCAGAACGGACAAACCCAACAAGTAAGTCTTGTACCTACTATACTATACCTACCTGCTCTTTTTTTCTCCATGTTCCAACCCTTTTGTCCGTCAGGTCCAACGTATAACTTCCTCTGGTGGGCCGTTGACCCCCCGCCCCGCGGTTCAGGCGGGGCCTCTTCTCGGTGCTGCGGCCGGAGGAAGCAGAGGTGGGCGGATCCAAGGTCGCTGTGTCGGTCGGGCGAAGTGATTTCGTCATGTTTCACCATGTGGCAGGGTGTTTCTTGCGGTTTGATTGACTGGTAAGCGTCGTAATGTCCGTATTGGCATGTCGTTTATGACAACGTACCTCAGCGATTTCTGAGTTCAAGCTGAAAAATAGGGGGCCGTAGTGAGTGGATAAAATTGGAGGGGTCAGTGCCTGGACTTTATCTGTGTGCCAGCCTGCCAGCAACCTATCCAGGGGGTCTGTCCTCCAAAAAAATCAACCCAAGTAAGGAGTGGATAATTCTTTTTTGGGGTGGATAAAATGGGGTCAGTGCATCAAAAATATCCAGAATAAACGCTCCAATTTTATCCACTCGGTAGTGGGAGTAGAAAAGGAAAGAAAAGATAGAACATCGCTCGCTGGACGTTCGTTAGATTTCCGCTCGTTAGATTTTCCGAGCTCCATGGACGTCATGATCACAGAGAACCAAAAAATTGTCAGCGAAACTTGCCAACGGAACGTCAAAGCATCAGTCACCGCGGGCTTTCAACTGCTCCAACAGCTGGAAGCACTCTTGGTCAGCACCTTTCAGCTCTGGATCATTCTCAGTGGGACCCTGTGTTTCGACATGAGGAGTCTGAAAAATAGTGGTGGGGCACGTGAAAAGGACATGTGTGAAACATGTGCGTCCTAAAAACAACCTGGATATTTTCCTTGGTCTAAGGTTGGGGGGATATACAAATGACAAGTTGTGGGATACGCTTAATTGTGAACTAATGAATGACATCTGGACAAAACAATTTCAATGCAGAAGTTCTGTTCAACAAAGAAGCTGCTTCCCTGTCGCTCTGGGCATCGTAACCCTGATAAACTCCCGCTGGCATTCCTAAGTCCAGAGCGGCTGTCAAGTCCACAAAATACCGGCCAAAATGTACTGTTCGACCAGCACTGCGGGCCATGCAATCAACATTCTATTGCAAGTGGTTGGATCCATTGATTCCAGACCAACCTCAACCGCAACCACAACCAACCTTCTAAGGGTTGCAGACTTCCGCAACAATCCTTAGTTTTGCAGACCACCACAGAGCACATAGAGCGTTGGAAAAAAACCTGGGCCTGGGATCGTTTCTTTTTGTCTCGTTTGTCGATTAGCATCTACTTTTGGGTGGGGGGTTCCTCGATCCTATTCGTCTAGCTTGCTAACCTCAGGCCTTCTCAAGATTATCTATCTGCACTGGTTGTGTACTTTTTTTGGGGGGGAGCCTTATGTTGGCCCTCTGGCCTTCAAATTTATCCACCGGTTTTGGCTAAAAACCCATCAGTCCCTGGAAATTATCCGGTACTGACCCCGGACGCCAGTACAACGGGGTATCTGAAAAGTTGCATGATTCCTGACTACATCACGGCTTTTGGGAGAAGGGCAAACATAGAATGGAAGGACAAGTCCCTGTACAACCTTTGGTTCAGCCAGATTGGCGCGGTGTCACTATCACTAGGAAAAAGGCTAAGAAGTTGGGACTGTGCTTGTTCGATTGTGTCAAGGGCGGCAGTGTCATGAATGTTGAATGCGACAGTATCAAAAAACATGTGAAGCTGTGGTTCAAACATGCTGGGCCAGGGCTCTCCGGGCCCTAGGGTGTTAGTTCTGATTCGGACTTTCCGGCGGTGGAAGGCATACTGGGCATGTTGTGGAATCCATTGCTGAACAGATAGGTCTTGGTACACAGGATCTTGGGCATGATGAAACAATTTCATAGCTGATTACGTATCACCTTCGTGTCGAAGGGGTTGTGTGACAGTTTTTTTGGGGTAGTTTTCCTATCATAGTCGAGCAGTGACTTGGACGAAAACCATCAAAGTCGCCAAGAAAAAAGGCATGTGTCGACAAAATTAAGACAGATGGTTTGGGGCATTATCAAGATACCAAGATACTGATACTGGTGACCAAGAAATACCAATATACTGATACCAAGATACTGTATCGACAGAATTGTCGAGATACTGATGACCGCAGCTCATGGGAACAATTCTGGTATTGACTCGCATGGCAACTTAGGCTGTTGCGGAATCATGGGAGCTCCCATGGGAAACCCCGATTTGGGTAGCAAGCATTGACGGGTCATAGGGGATCATATTTGGTCTCTCCATGCACACTCACACGACATGATGTGGTGGCGGATAGGCAGCGACTGGGCTGTGGCAGTTCCAAAACCCTCCATCTCGGCCACAACTTGGAAAGGACGATGAAAAAGCGATATAGCATCTGGGAATATTTGGGACATATCTGGGATACGGATAAACAAATATCATGCGCTTTTGATACACTCCCGAAAACTAACATGGAAGTGGAGTTTACCATATGTTTGTAGTGGATGTCATGGTCTTCCTTACGGGGCCGTTCTCCACATTCCATGTTAGTTCCAGGGAGTGTATCTTTGATTAACACCTCAAGGAGCACGGTATTCCGCCTTAGCCAGGACGCTCCTCCAGCGGATGCGCCCAGCGGTGGTGCATCTGGCTCTGCAGCACCATCTGCCGCTTCCACCGCGCCGGTGGAGGATGGTGAAGCGCTGGATGTGGTTTGATGGCTGGGGTGAGCCATTTAGTGGGAGTTGGTATACAGCTGAGCACAGTGGCTCCCGGGTCCCCGGAGTGTTTCCTGGATGTTGAAGGGACATTCCTCCCAATCAACGTGCATCAGGGCTCAGGATGCTGATGTTCTCTCCTAGACACTACATGTGGGACATCATGTGGCATAATTGTTTGCAGTGGGGGTGGTGTCAGGGGTCAATGGAGGTACATATTCCATACCAGGACCTTCGCCTCCAGGCATGTCTATGAATAGTCCGTAGAAGTTGTGGGTCATCCTCCATCTTCCAACTGCTACGGATTTCTTCGACTCCTGCATACCGGACTGCCGCACCGAGTACCTCAGGTGACGTAAGCTTCGCTGGGAAAACAGCTGTTTGGCAAGTCGTGCTTGTCAGCTTCAGCCAATGGGTAGACTGGTCCATGTTCCTTCTTCCAGGGCGTCTTTGGTGGAGGATCTCCTGAAAATAACGCTAATGCATACCCGAATGGAGATGGCGGAGAACAGCACATCAGTGTAGGTTCCAAGGTTTGTAGAGGGGCGTACTATTGACTCAGAGCAATTGTATGCGATTGTTTTTTCCACAAAAACTGTTACGAAAGCCAGCCCGGTTGACGGAAAGGGAACCTGAAGTACTATACCTGGTAAGGTGCCAACTAGACCTTTCCATTCAGATGATGCAAATGATGCATTTGGCATTTCTTGCATCACCACCCCTCAAAAATCACCTCCAACACAACCTCAAAAAACCTTCCCTCGACGCACCTCCTCCCCCAGCATGTGCTGAGTTTACGTGTACCTTTCCCGCCTAACTACTCACTTCGTTCGCCAGACACAACTCCGCTAGCGCCTTCTACCCGGTCATGTTTTGAAGGTGTCCCGGTCATGTTGTGATGGTGTCCGGGTCATGTGACGGTGTCCCGGGCATGTTGTGATGGTGTCCTGGTCATCTTGTGATGGTTTTCCCGTCATGTCATGTTGGTGTCCCGGTCACCTTGTGATGGTGTCCCGGTCATGTTGTGATTGTGTCCCAGTCATGTTGTGACGGTGTCCCGGTCATGTTTTGATGGTGTCCCGATCATGTGATGGTGGCGCGGTCATGTTGTGATGGTGTCCCGGTCATGTTTTGATTGTGTCCCAGTCATGTTGTGATGGTGTCCCGGTCCTGTTTTGATGGTGTCCCGGTCATGTTTTGATGGTGTCCCGGTCATGTTGTGATGGTGTCCCGGTCATGTTTTGATGGTGTCCCGGTCGTGTTGTGACGGTGTCCCGGTCATGTTTTGATGGTGTCCCGGTCCTGTTGTGATGGTGTCCTGGTCATGTTTTGGCGGTGTCCGGGTCATGTGACGGTGTCCCGGTCATGTTGTGATGGTGTCCTGGTCATCTTGTGATGGTTTTCCCGTCATGTCATGTTGGTGTCCCGGTCACCTTGTGATGGTGTCCCGGTCATGTTGTGATTGTGTCCCAGTCATGTTGTGACGGTGTCCCGGTTGTCCCGGGACACCATCACAACATGACCGGGACACCATCAAAACATGACCGGGACACCATCGAAACAGGACCGGGACACCATCACAACATGACTGGGTCACAATCAAAACATGATCGGGACACCATCAAAACATGACCGGGACACCAGCATCACATGACCCGGACGCCATCAAAACATGACCGGGACACCATCCGCCCACCAGCTCTGACGGTGACCCGACGGCGCCCGTAATTCAATCCCACGGCGAGCAGGCACGAGCTGGGATAATGAAGAAGAGGCGATTTGGGCCATCAAACGCACGGAGGAGCTCCTACTCAATCACCCCGACGCTCGCTATGAACCGCAAATCGGTATCCTTTGTGTCTACACAGGTCAGGCGGCACTTGTCAAGAAGCTCATGGCAGCCAGTCTCGTGATCAAGCAGAGAGGAGCAGACCCACAGATCGTTACCTTCGCTGAGGTACAGGGACAAGAGTTCGACTACACTCTTCTCTTGACTTCGAAGGACGAAGCTACTCCATTCACTTGCAATCCCAACTGGGCCTACGTTGCTTTCACAAGGCACAAATTGTCCATTTCCATCAGCGCGACACGATCTTGGCTCAATGCTACTGCATCAGGACGGGCCTGGTTGCGGTCAGTGGGTCTTCCGACTGCCCAGATGGAGTTTGAGATCATGGCGCGTGATCTGGAGAGGCTACGAAGGTCCGCCATTGTGATCAACCCGCAAGCTTTGAACTCTCTCGCAAAACTGGCAAAGAAGTTTCTCCGCAAACCGTTCCCATTGCTCGTGAAGCCTTGTTTAGCGGTGGTGAATCACTGGACAACAACCACACCTGATGATCAGCCCGTGCGCATCACTCTTGATACTGTAGTGCCGGCAAAGTCACGGGTTGAGGAGACGCACAAGGAATCTCATGCAACCCCGCTTTATGTCAAGCCTCCAAAGGATCGCACCATGGCTGCAGTGTTACCTGAGCTGGTGCAAGAATTGCGAGCGCGTGGCCACTATTTGATTGGACTGCCTCCCGGCACAGGAAAGTCTACGATCTGTGCCCTCTCTGCAAAGGCTGCAAAGGAAAGGGTCACCATCCTTGACGTGGTAGCTGGACTTCCGGACGGAGCATTGGAGAGACGATTTGGGCCTGCCACGGACCTGTTGGAGCTTTTAGACATCACTTTTGTGTTGTGATGGTGTCCCGATCATGTTTTGATTGTGTCCCAGTCATGTTGTGATGGTGTCCCGGTCCTGTTTTGATGGTGTCCCGGTCAGGTTTTGAAGGTGTCCCGGTCATGTTGTGATGGTGTCCCGGTCATGTTTTGATGGTGTCCCGGTCGTGTTGTGATGGTGTCCTGGTCATGTTTTGTTGAGTTCGTGGAGCTCAGGTCCTACGCCGCGGGAAGGAGCTTGCTGCGCATCAATCTCATAACCTCTACACACGCACAGCAATCCACAGCTTTGAAGTCTCATTCGTGCTTTGAACTTGTATAGGTGTGTA